GGAAGGTTCCTTTATCTCTCTCATTCACAGCTAACACACACAATTTTACTACAGGGCTTGATATCTGAACATTTGCTAACTTCAGAAATCATAGAATAGTTTAGGTTAGAAAAGACCTCTGAGATCAAGTCCACTGCCAGTTCCACCACTAAACCATGTCCCTAAGTGCCATATCCACAAGTCTTAAATGCCTCCAGGGATGGTGAAGCTGTTTTCTAGATTTTCACAGGAATACCACTCCCTCCTTCAAGCACAGCTTTACATATCATACTGAGAACAGATTTAACACAAATACCAGTGTGTTAAAAATGTCACCATACATGCTGTCAGATCATAAGCTTTCTGTACACAAGACATGATTTGACCTGCTTCAAACCTACTTAGACATACTAAAGTCTCATGCACTGCACCCGAAGCAAGACACTGTCCATTTTAGCTGTATTTTTGAATATGCTGTATACCCCACTACCAACACCCATTTCTAAGTGCCTTTAACAAAGAGGTCTTATTTACTATTACTGCAGCTCAAATCCATATGAACTATTTCAATTAATAACCATTTTGATATACTGATCTGGCAGAGCCCACAAGCTTCAGTTTGACTCCGCAAGCAATAATATTCCATCCTTTCAATAAAAATTGCTTTAAGCACTAAGCTAGAAAAGCATGAAACAGAAGTTTAATCAGCCTGACAGCCTTGACTTGCTGGGGAATTAGGTTTCTCATGTTTGGAGTAACAATTACCAGTAAATGGTTGAAACAGTGTCAGCTAAGTTGAAAAAACAAACAGCGTATGTGTCTCTCAACAGGCTTCAAACCCAAGGAAACAGTGGTAACTGTTACATCACTTTAAGACACTTGAGTAAAGGTGTGGGGGAAAAGGTATTTTCCTTCAAACATTTCTTGAAGTTTATATTAGCAAAGAATTAATTTGGCTGGAGCTTTGATAACTTGCACTACTTGATTTCTTTGCATAGCTAGACATTAGCGTTTGGCTTACAACAGACTCGTAGAGCAAAAGGCAGGCTGCATAGCTAGACATTAGCGTTTGGCTACAGACTCGCAGAGCAAAAGGCAGGCTGTTAGCTACCTGCTCAGTATTTCAGGGCTTCACAGCTGATAGGTTCATTTGGAACCCAAAAACATAGCTAAAAAAGTACTTGCAGAACTATTTACAAACTGTTCCAAGTAAAGTTAAACTCTTTTTTTTTTTGCTACAAGAGATAAATGGAAATTTCACTCCTTATGTTAGACCATTGTGCTGTAAAAGGTATATAAGGAAAACGCATCTCTTATCACAGGCCAGCGATGGAAACAATTTCATGCCTTTCAAGACACTCTAGAAATTCTGGTTTGAACACAGCTATACAAACATAGCAAGGCCTACCCACAAGATTAAGTATTTTAGGTAAGGAAAATCATTTAACTTAGGCTAGACTTGTGTGAAAGAATCACTTCTGTGACTCTGTGAAATGTGCTCCAGTTCTCCCTTTAGAGTATCCCCTTTGAGAATATTAAGCTGCTTTGCCACTTATGAGCTAAATAGCACACCCCCAATTCTCTTTTCTGGGCCAAAGACAGAATTCCTTCAACCTTTATTTATAGGTTGCTCTCTGCAACTGTGTAATCACTTTCACAAGCCTCCACTGGCGCCTCTACAGTACTCCAGCTTCATAAATTGGGGGAACAAAATCAGATACAGTACTCCCAGGTGTGGCTTTGGAAGCATCAAGTGCAATGAAATAATGGCTGTGCTCTTGCTGATGTAAGCCCAGGACACTGCCTTTCTGCTGTGAGGCACACTGATGGCAGCTTGCTGTCCACCAGGACTTCCAGGTCCTTTTCAACAGAGCCATCCCCTAGCTGGTCAGACCCAACCATGAACCATGCTAGGAGTTAACCCATTCCAAGAGAAGGCCTTAACATCTGCTAAACCTGATGCCATTCCTGTTGGCCCAGTCTTCCCATCTGTCAGTGTCTCCATAGTGGCTCTTCATTCTGTTTTATCTACTTGTCCCAGTTTGAAATAATTCTCAGATTATATGACTACTCAAGCCCATCATCCAGATCATTTATGAAGACTGAATAATATTGGTCCATATGACCATGAAGAACTCACTCAGGTCAGCTAGCTGTGTATCTCCAGGATTTGGGGTAAAGTATAAACACCATCCAATATCAGAACTAGAATGCAGGGTGCAATTTCACTGAGGTGCCTTGATGAAACCCAAAACATCTCCAGCCAGAGCCAAAGACAATCAGTATGTAGAAACACATAAGACATTAAAATTTTACAAGTGCAAACTTAGAAGCAATTAGATTTCAGCATCAAGCAGAGACATCCACCTGTTCTTCAAACTGCTACCATAAACTAACATATGAAATATTTACTCAACAGCAATAGTTCAGAAATAAAACTCAGAGCTTTAAATCTTCTAAGTTCCTGCAAAGCAAAATACAACTCTCAAAGTGATGCATTGTTTTGCTGCTTTTGCAGATGTGAATTACATACTTGAACATCAAGCTTGCTCTAGTGATAAAGGCAGTGTAAGTTTCTTCCCTGAATACAAAAGATGCTAATAGTGAGAAGATTATGCAAGTAAGCCTCCCCTCAGTGTGCGAAAGAGACACATTGGTCCTTCAAGACAACAACATATAGAATGAAGGACAAAGATGAATCATCTCATGTGATGTGTCACAGGTCTGAATACAAGCAGTATTAGCTCATTTTCAGGACTGCATTTGCCTTCAGGCTGATACAGAAGTTGAAGGCTGCCCTGGACAAATTTTTAATCCCCTGGGTTAGTATAAGTGTTAAATTATTCATGGGCTATTATTTTGGGCATCTGCAACTTGACAAGCAGACAATGTATTAAAGACAGCACAGGAAAACCAAAGCTGCACACTAAGGCCAAGAGAAGGCTCAGTCCCAATACAAGTCATGGGTTCAAAGTTGGGAATATGAATACAATCAGATCAAAAGAGCCTTTCAAGTAGTTAAAACAAGCTAATTCATATACATGAATTTAGGTACAACAAGTAATTAATTCTTGGCATTTGCACCATTGAAGCAACAGTTTCCAGGACTTATTTTTGACAACTTCTGCCTAGAAGTGTTAAGTCAAAGTAAAAACAGACATCCAAATGTACCAGGCAATTACAGTATACATATTCCCCCCCCAGGTTCTTCAAAATAAATTGAAACTAGTACTAAACACTAGATGGTATCTGCTAACACATGCTGCAAGGTTAGACCTCTAAAGCCTCAGGCTCCTGTCTCTGCTGTTACTGAAAGTCTTGATCAGCCTCACTGAAACCTCATTTTACAGTGGCAGAAAAATCTAAACATTTTAGAGAAGATTCTCCTCTCTCGAATCCCCACAAGTGATCCATGTAAGATCACTACCAGTTAGCTTAAGGGCTGGAAAGCCAAATCCTAAGAGCTCACTACCTATTAAGTACAAGTTAGAGGCATCATCCATGAGCACCTGCCTCCTCCTCATTTGAGTCTCTGCCCACAGGCAATACAGGTAACAGATCTGGATGGATAAAGTTCATATTTATGCCTCATAGATTTCTTTAAGTAGGTGGCCTTTTACTCTAAAGGAGCAGAGAAAACAAAAACACCTTACAGCAACAGAAAATCCAGTTTACCAATCCTATTAAAAGAACAGTCTAAACAAAGCACTTAAAACTTCTGCCTTATTTGGTATTCACAGCAGCGGTAGCTAGGTCTGAGACAGTAATTTGCAAACAAATCTGTTGTCAGTAAAGCAGGAGCCTGTAACTCACATGAATGCAACAACTAGTTCAGTACCTTTATGCAGTAGGCACTGAAAAGCAGCAAGAAGCATTTTCTAGCTGTTCTCTCAGCATTCCACTGAACCCAAATACACCCCATGCTCCAGAGCATTAAAATA